AGGCCATCGACCGGGCCATCGAGCGCGCCGCCGACCCCGACGCGCCCGCGGACGCGACGCCGCCCGGCCTCGACCAGGACGAGTTCTACGAGCGCCTCGGCCTCGACGCGGCGACGAAGCACGAGCTCACGGACAAGGATTTGAAGCGCGCGTACCGCAAGGCCACGCTCAAGCACCACCCGGACAAGGGCGGCGACCCGGACGCCTTCCAGGCCGTCCACGAGGCCTACGAGATCATCACGTCTACGCGGGAGGCGAAGCTCGAGGCCGCGAAGTTCTGCGAGTGCCTCTTCTCCAAGGAGGTCGCGAAGACGAAGAAGGGCATGGGGCTCATCGTCTGCGAGGACCGGCGCCGCGGCGGCATCAAGATCAAGGCCGACTGCAAGGACTACGACGACGTCGCGTGCGTGCACCGCGGCGACGGCGTCGCGCGGCGGCTGCCCCGGAAGCACGGCCGCTTCCTCGCGGGCGACCTCATCGTCAAGGTCGGCCGCGACGACACGCGGGGCTGGTCCATGACGCGCCTCGTGCAGCGCCTGGACCCCTTCCGCGTACCCGTCGGCGCGTCGGTGGCGTTCACCGTCGCGCGCGACGTCCGCCTCGACGCGTTCGCGCCCGACGACGAGTACGCCGACGACGACCCGGAGGAGGCCGAGTTCGACTTCGGCGCCTACGCGTCGGCCCAGCCCATCGAGGACGGCCCGCCCGTGGACCTCGAGACCGACGCCATGGCCGCGGTCGAGGCGCGCGCGGACGACGGCGCCGGCGACGAGGGCCGGCTCCGGCGCGACCTCGACGCCGCGCGCCACGACGCCGAGGTCGAGCGCGAGGGGCGCACCCACGCCGAGGCGCTGCGCGCGTCCGCCGCGCGGGACCTCGAGCAGGCGCTCGAGCGCGCGGAGGCCGCGGAGGCCCGGTGCGCGGACCTGCAGCGCGCGCTCGAGGCCGCGCGCGACGCCGCGCCGCCGTCGCCGGCGTCGTCGCGCGGGTCCGCCTCGCCGGACCGCGCCGCCGTGCTCGCGCGGGCCCGCAAGGCCGCGCTCGCCGCCGGCGGGGTCCCCAAGGACCGCGTCGGCGGCGTCGACGCCGACGCGATCCTCTCCAAGTTCGAGGCGAAGCTCGCGCGGCTCGAGCCGCCCGTGGCGCCGGACTGGGCGCCCGACGACCACCCGAACAAGACCTGGGTGCCCCCGAAGAGCCACGCGCCCAAGCTCGCGCGCCACGAGTTCCGCAGCCGCCGCGCGTCCGTCCAGGACAGCCTCAAGTACCGCCCGAAGCACGCGGACGTCGTCGCCGCGGGCTACACGTCCCACTCGTCCCACCGCCGCGCGTGAGGTCGTCGCTAAGGCACCCGGCGCCGCGCGCGACCCTCGCGTCCCGCGCGCGACGCTTACGCCCCGTCGACGCGGCATCCGCGCGGAGGACGCGGGCCCTCGACCAGCGAGCGACGCGTACGTTCCCGCGCGCGACGCTTACGCCCCGCCCGCGCCGTCGCCCCACCACGCGAGCCGCGGGAAGTGGGGGAAGGCCGTCGCGTTGGCGCCGAGGGCGTCGCAGTGGTCCATGTCGAAGGTGTCGTAGATGTAGTCGAGTTTGTAGTCGTGGGGGTTCGCCGCGGCGAAGACCTCGCCGTTGGACAGCGTCGCGGCCGCGCCGTCGACGGTCGTCGCGAAGACCGTCAGGTCCTCCGCGTGGTGCCCCTGGCACGCCGTCGCGTCGTCGCGCGCGCAGTAGCGCGTGTCGCCGCCCGGGTCGCGCCAGGCCGCGTCCGCGAACGGCGCGGCGACGCGCTTGTACTGGAGCAGCCGGTCCACGAAGGGGTGGATGGGCCAGAAGGCGACGTCGTTGGGCGCGCCGGCCTCGAGGATGTCGCCCGGCGAGAACGGCGTCTCGCAGAGGAACCGCAGGAAGCGCTCCGTGCGGTCCTCGTCCAGCGCGAAATACCACTGGTAGCCCGCCATGAACGCCTTCATCTCGTCTAAAAAACCCGAGCTCTCGTAGTCCTCGGGCTTCGGGCAGACGACGTGGCACCGCGCCTGCGGCGCGTCCCGGGAGCAGGCCTTCGGGTACTGGACGGACGGCAGGTCGCGGTACATGTCCTTGGGCAGGTAGAGCAGGCCGTTCGCGAAGGACCCGACGGCCACGTCGTCGCCGAGGATCGCCCGCAGCTCGTCCATCGCCTCCGCCGGCGCCGCGTAGCCGCCGACCATGGTGTGCACGGGGCCGTGGGGCAGGTAGCCCGCGGCCCAGGCGTAGGCGTACCACGAGTCCGCGCTGTCGAGGTTGAACGCGAAGTCCGCGACGGCGTAGCAGTTCGACCACGCGTCCAGCGGCAGCGACGCGCCCGCGAGCTTGTGGAACCGCGCGACGAAGGGCGACCGGTTCACGTTCCAGGGGGCGCGCAGGTAGCCGTAGGGGCTGCGCGCGGCGCCCGCCGCGTCGGCGACGCGCGCGTAGGCGAAGCGGCCGCGCTCGGGCGCGTGGTGGCGCGAGCCCGACGCGTTCCCGAAAACGTCGTCGGACCAGACGTCCGTCGCCCAGAGGGCGCTGGCGTCGCCGCCGGCCATAGACGCCAACACGTGGTCCTCCGTGTAGTCCCAGTAGGGCACGGAGACGCCGGGGGCGACGACGCGGAGCGCGCGCTCGAACGCGTTCGTGAGCGCGACGTGCTGCGTCACGAAGCCCAGGCCGTCGTGGAGCCGGTCGCCGCGCCGGTCGCCCGCGAGGGCGAGGTGGACGGCGACAAAGTGGGCCAGGGGCAGGTAGTCGGGCCCGTAAAGCTTTCGGCCCTCGTCACCGCCGTAGGTCCGGAGCGTCTGGACGGCGTCGAGGAACGCGTCGCGGTCCGCGGGCGCCGCCGCCCGCAGGCTCCGCCGCACGTAGCGGCAGAGGAAGGTGCGCTCGTAGGCCTCGCCGCCGAGCGTCGCCGACGCGACGTAGTGGCCCGCGTAGGGCGGCACGAAGACGGCCTCGACCGCGGTCGACGCGTGGATCGCCTCGCCGGCGTCGCCGGGCCGCGCGCTCGCGGCCACGGCCCAGGCCGCGAGTTGTCCGCCGTCCGGCGGGGGGCGCAGCCGCAGGGTCGTCGCGGCGTGGGGCTCGATGACGGACCCGGCCTCGAGCCGCGGGTAGCCGCGGCCGGGGTGGAAGCCCGCGAAGTCGACCGCCGCGTTCGTCGCCTCGATCGATCGCGGCGGCGCGGCGTCGAGCGAGAGGGACCAGGGGGCGTGGAAGTTGCTCAGCACGGCCCAGGCCGTCGCGGCGCACGCGCAGACGAAGACCGCGACGCCCGCGCAGTTGTGCGACGAGTGGGGGCGGAGCTCGCCGTCGGCGTAGGTCGCCTCGAAGACGACCTCCTCGTAGCGCCGCGCCGTCGCCCGGTCCCCCCCCGACGTCTCGTCGAGGACCGCGGGGATGCCGCCGTAGGTCGTCATCTTTCGCGACGTCAAGGGCGCGGCGTGCGCGCGCGAGGCCTCGCGCTTGGCCGCTGCTCAGATTATCACGCACCCGGATTTCCAGCTCTGTACGAGTCCGCGCGCGACGGATGCGCGGCGACACGCGCTGGACGTTAGTTCCACTTGGCGTTCGCGGGCGGGATGCGGCTCTTGGTCACGCGGCAGTTCGCCGGGAGGCTGCTGGGGCCGACGGAGATGACGACCTCGCGGCCGTGCATCGAGGGGCGGTCGTACGCGGCGCGGCCGTCGGCGCCGGACGGGTTCGACCGGAGCCGCTCCTCGCGGACGCGCGCCTGGCGCGCGGAGTCGCGGCTCCAGTGGCCCGACGGCGCCGCGGCCCGCCGCGCGGGCGCGGCGTCGTCGCCGCCGCCGTCGCCCTCGGCGCGGCTCCGCGCGTTGACGCGCGGGTCGACGAAGGACCCGGCGATCTTGTCGAGGAAGGACCCGCGCGCGGCGCCGCCGGCGCCCGCGCGCGCGAGCGCCTCGTCGCGCCAGTCCTCGCGGCGCCAGCCGTCGCCGGCGTCGCGGCCGCCGCCGTCCTCGCCGTCGCTCGCGTCCGCGGGCGGCGCGCCGAAGATGGCCCTCGCCCGCTTCGCGTCGTCGTCGTCGTCGTCGCCGTCGTCGTCCGCGGCGGGGCGCTTGCGCGCGGGCGCGGGCGGCGGCGCGGGCGCCTCGTCCTCGGATTCGCTGTCGCTGAACATGTTCGGGGCGTGCGCGTCTTCTTGTTGCGCGTCTTCTTGTCGCGCGTACGCGTCTTCTTGTTGAGCCGACGTTCCGCGCGCGCAGGCCCGCGGTCGCGGGTGGTCGCGGTGCTCGGTCGGCGCGCAACACGCTCTCGTGGTGGGAGCTGCTCGGCGCTTGCCTCTCTCTCTAGCGCATTAATTAATGCATTAGGCGACCTAGCC